CTCACAGAGGCTGCCCCTGCAGCCCCCAGCTGCCAAAACCCTGCCCTGACACCCAATATGTGATTAATTTTCATGAAGATGAATATGGGCTCCACTATTCAGTTCTGGAAGATGCTTTGGGATAAACTTCCCTTAAATTCCCTCTTTCTCTTTGTTTTTCTCTTCTCTTGACTGTTGCCTTCTGAGGCACAACACTATCAACTATCCAACTAAATTAAGTATAACCATCCAGCAAGACAGTTTTCCAGGAGACATGGCACCTTTTTTCCCCCTCCCAATTAGCTTATCCCTTCCCTCTCCTCCCTCTCTACATTCAAAATACTTGTGTACCTAAGAATATTAAGCTGAGTCCTTATGTTGGCTCACACCACCAGCCAGCAGCACTCCGTGCCTAGAGAGGCAGGAGGTACGTCCAGAACACTGCACTCCACACCTGCCCGGCCTCTCTTTGTCAGCCCATTTGGAGACCAAGTTGAGGCTGCATTTGAGGCTTTCTATTTCATGACCAACAATTCTTCAGAGGATCTTTTGGGTTTGGTTTTAGCTGGTAGTTTATTCTTTTAACAAGTTCTATACTATTTTGAAGATATTTAATTTTCAGCATTTTTCACAGCTCTCATTATGGGCACTAGAAATATGTGGCAACTAAAGCTGTAGTTAGAAAATCTACATCACTTTCTGTCTTGGTTTGTGAATTGCTATAAAATCAATACCAGCAGGCAAACCAAAAAACAGACAGAATGCTGAAAAGGGCCAAATTTTCTCATGATGTCAAGGGGCATTACTATTGTCAATGGAGATACATTTATACAAGCAATTATTTGGACCATGCTACTTGTATTTGTCTGCTAGTACAGTTTTCACAGCAATTCAGAAAGCAAGACAGAAGAGCAGCATGCATTTTTCCAAGCTCAACAGATTGTCCATTACTTCCTTCTGCCCCTTACTGGTATGAAATAAACCTTTCATTCATGCTTTGTACTTTACAGAGAACTAGTTTCTTTTATAATTAATTATACTTCATAAAAGAAAGGATTTGATACAGTTGGCTAATATAATTGTAGCTAACTCAGTCTTAAAAAGTAATTCAAGAAAGTATCAGGTCTGAAACTGGAAATTGTGAAAATCACAAATAATTAGTCCATAGCATATCTGGACCATATGAGTGTACAGTCTGCAGGTTACCACAGAAGTAGAAGTCCCTGAAGTGCTTTTGGCATGATTAAGCAAACCTTCCCCATCAGAATTTCAAACATCTTCCCCTGTTTGTTGATCTCTAAATCACATTGTCGATTCAAAGATTATACATGCATTATAATAAATTCCACTTATACTAGTAAACCTTTTATTATCCTATCTCATTTCACAAAATAAATAGTTATTACAAATAAATGGGAAATATTGTACCTGGGGTAGTGAAGTGAATAGTCCTTTCAAATGTATGGATTTCTCAAAAGGGAAAGGTGAGTAGTTTTTCACTTTCAAAGTATTACTGTTAGCTGAATAAAAATGAAGCCCTAAAATTGACAGGTGGGATACCAGTTAATAGATAAAGAAAACTACAGTTTTAACAAAACACATAGATGGATACAGCTAAAAATAAATCAGAATATGTGGCTTAAACTAACTCATAACTTTTTCATATGTGGTTCTAGAAACTGCAGATTCAGGAAAATGAAACATGCAGACTCTGTCAACAGAGAGTTTACCCAATGGAATGCCTAGTTGCCGACAAGCAGAATTTTCATAAATCATGTTTCCGATGTCACCACTGTGGCAGTCAATTAAGGTAAGAAGTAACTGTATGTTCACTCACAGAACTCTGTATTTGAATACAGATACAGCTGGCGAAATTATTTTGTAACTGGGCTATTCAGCCTGTAGGATGTTGTATTGACAGGGAGGTAACCTGGGCTCCCCTTTTCTTCTCTGCTACTGACATCTGCACTGTGATGTGGAACAAGTCCTTTAAATTCTCTAAAGAACTGCTCCATCCCAGTGCCTTCCAAATTCTTCTGCATATTACTTCCTACTGACTGTTCCAGACCTTCTGGAGAGCTCATGAATTGGAAGCAGTAGCCACAGAAACTCAGGTGGAATTTAAGACATCTGAACGTAGATCAAATTTTCTCTCTCTTTCTCATCCATAAAATGAATGATGATGGTTCTCTGCATTAGCAAACCACTCTTGTAACTTTTATATGAAATGCAGTATTTATCGCTCTATCAGACTGCAAAGGCTAACAGTTCTGATTTAAACACCCTTGAGGTTAGTTACACACATTTGCTTTACTTCACTTAGAAGCAGAATCCAAATATAATTAAACACAAATTTCTATAATTTGCATAAAGGCTAAAGAAAATTGGCACTGTGTTTTCTCCATCTACTTCATAGAAAAATAGAGGATTCGGTCTTTAACATGATGAAGAAAAAGGTCCCAACAACCCTGAAGTGCTGTGGAACATTCCTATTTGACGCTTATGCTGTGCAACAACTGAATAAGTTTAAGTTCTTTCTTAAATCACAAAGCATGACTCTTCTCCTTTGTTTTGACTTTGAAATTTTACGGAAATTTGCAATTAAAGGTTTTAGATACTTTTTGGGGGGGGGTGGGGGTAGGGTGGGGTGTCAGAATTGGTCAATACGTTGAATTTGCTCTCTTTTTGCTCTTCTGTATACATACTGTCATGTAGAGGTACTTGAAATACCAAGTAAAGTATAAAATTCACGACAGATTTATGATATGTAAAAGTATAAAACAAATTTTCTTCTATTTGGCAGCTTGGGAAATTATGCATCTCTCCATGGAAAAATATATTGTAAACCCCATTTTAAGCAACTTTTCAAATCAAAAGGAAATTATGATGAAGGTTTTGGACACAAGCAGCATAAAGAATTATGGAATTCTAAAGATCAGTGTAGCTCAGTTGGCAATATTCATGCTGAAGAAACAAATCCCATTAATAGTATACCTGTTGATCCTAAACCAATTACAGAAATTGATCAAGACTTGTACGCAGGTACTGAAGGTACTCATCTTGATATTTTGGATAATAATTTGAAAAAATCCAGAGAAAGAGGTAAATTAAAGATGACCTGGCCTCCTTCAACAGATGATGCAACACCTAAGAAAACATTTTCTATTGAAGAAGTGGCTAAAGTAAATAAGCCAAAGTGGCCCCCAGAAGGTTTTGCTCAAGAAGGTTCTAGATTACATACAAATAAACCTCTGGGCAATAAAAAGGATTCTCAGAAAAAAAATGCTGTTGGAGAGCAAAATAAAAATAACACTGCAAGTGCACAACAAGATCACCACTCATCCTTTAGCCCTCTGCCTGAAAAAGAAGCTACAAATATCTGTAAAGCAAAGAAAAATGAAGCAGGCAATAAGGGAAAAGATGAGGACGCTGGGAACGTGCAAGATAAGCTGACTAAAACAAGAGGATCACAGAACAGGGAGGAAAGTGGAAAGGATATTAATGAAGGTGGTAATGTGATTGTGCACAGTGCTGGGAAAGAGCAAGAGAAAAAAATTAATGAAACCGATGATTCAGAAGTTGTACAGGTCACTAACATTGACGATGTAACAGTACAAAAGAATCACAAAGAATTCAGCTTGAATAACAATAACAATAATGGCACTTTTTCACACCTAAACATTTGTAGGCAGGAAACAACTCTCTCAGCTATGTCTAACCCAATGATGGGCATGAAGTCATGCAATTTGCACTGTACTGCAGCATGCCTTTGCAAAGCTGGAAGATCGGTCTGTAAATAAAGAAATATTTGAGATGTATGAATCTCATGAGAGCTATTCTAGTGATACTGTAACTGTTTCACAGGATGAACAGAACTCAAAAGACGAAGATGCTGTTACCTCTAATAGTTTTGCTCAATTTAATAAAGATGCCACTTGTCAGAAGTCTCATACTAATACCACATTAAAGGAGGCAACTAATACAACATTCCCTGTTGATACAGAGTTGCTATGCATTGGAGAAGAATCAAAATACAACAAAAGCTTAAATACTATTTTATCTGACACTGAAAACATCTTTTCTTAAAAAAGACAACCTGGTTTTAGACTGTGGTCTAACAGACTCTGTGGATGTAACTAAAAATTCCTGCAGCCCATATTCAAAAGAACATGGGAAGTATGATACAGAACTGAATTATATTAATGCCTGTCAAGAAAGTGAAATAATCAAAGTGTCAAAGAATGACATAAACACAAGCTTAGATTTACTGAGCTCCAGACATACGGCTGTTCCATCACTCCAAGGTGAGAAAGTCAAGTTCAAACAGCCAACTGTAGAAGAACAAATTAAAAGAAATAGATTATATGATGAAAATTAATAAAACAGCTAAGTGATCAGCTACGTCTGTCACTCATTATAAAGTATGTCGTAAATAGGTATTTCTTCAGTCCAGTTATTTTAGTCCTTCTTGAAGAATTTAATATCCAGAGATTACATATGAAAAATTGTATTATATACTGTCAATTACTCACGCTTTATTTACTTAGTTTATATTTAAGGCAATGAAGATGCATAAAATAAATTTTTTTCAGTCTGTAATTAAAACAACTTGTCTCTCTATGTTCCTGAACATCACAAGAAATACTTTACTATATGACTGTCCTGCAGAAACATAATAATTCAATTTTACTCTTTATCATTTGTAACAAATTAATATGTGAAGCACCTGGTGTGCACAAAACAAGAAAAAATATTTCCATTGATTTTTTTCTTATGTATTGTTATTATTGTAACCGAGCTGTTGCTCCATGACATGTTATGTACATTTGTTGTATTAGCTCATACTAGAAAATTTGAGGTTTAGTGGGGGTTTTGGGGAGTTGTTGTGGGTTTTTTTCCCAATATCATGCAGTACTTGGTTTGAAATGCACTCATTACTGAATAGTAACCATAACTGGTTGGTGAATAGTACTGTTTTGCTATATTCCTAGAGCTGCTACTATGGCATTATATTGTATGACAGAAAAAAAAAAAAAAATGTGTGCAAATTTTAACACAGGATAAAAACAAACATCCTAGGCAGAACTGGAACAAGGTTTGGGAACACTGGGCAATTAAGACTTGTGGTTGTTTCAGTAACTAATTTGAAGTCATTAAACTGAAGCAGCTCTCCAGTTTCATATTTAAACCTGCACAAACTTATGCAGATTTAGCACTTTTTTTCCTTAACACATTTATGGATTAACATTTGCTCTCTTAACACTATTCCAGCTTGCATGAAACAGCAACATATCATTTAACTGTTGACAATGCATAATAAAAAAGCACTTTACAAAAAAGTATTTTGTGGAGTTTTTTAATATGAATTTATACATATGATTTTCCTTAAACAGTTTGTGAAATTCTTCATGCAATAATTACTTTAACCTAAAGTGTCTGTCAGAGTGAAATGGAAGGATAATCAAAGTACAGTTTTCAAAATAATTTCTGAAGTATCTGAGACAGGTGTTTGGAGTAATTTACAGGAAAGACAGGTTGATGTTAAAACATTTAAGAAAGTATTGTGCAGAGTTCTAGAACAAAGGATCTGCTGCACTACAAGTCATTGCCCAAAGCAATAGGATTGTGGGTAGGTGGGATATCCACATGTAACTCTTCTATACTTACACAGAAAAAAACTATAAAGTATACACACATGAGAAAAGCTATACATAGTATTTCTTCCACAAGAATACTTCAAGAAAGTGAAGTCTCCTCTTTATGCATCATGCTTCACTCCTCCAAAGTATTCTTGCAAAATGCAGAAATATAGAAAAGACCCCTGAAAATTAACATCCTAAGAATAATTAGCCTTCACACAAGGCACTCAGATACCACTGTATTTGATAACTTTGTTAAAAAGCATTAGCCTATAGGCCATTGCAAACATTTTAAAATTATTTTGGCAAGATCTCTCTTATTCTTCCCCCTCCCCCTATTTGGTTGTAACCATGATAAATTAGTTTTGAAAACCCAAGAGGTTTGTAAATAGACTTTGTTTGCTTTTTTGAATAGATAACACAACTAAAAATAACATCAACAAAATTCTTGCTAAGACAACAAAAAAATCTCAGAAAATGCAAGCGTGAGGAAAATCAATGGAATTTGTCTAAAATATTTAGAGCTTTACATGGAATAAACTTTTAAATCTTTCCCATTCCTGAAAATTTCTGATTAGGTATAAGATCAGTTTTGACTGTAGTAGTTAGGAAAGAGGAATGATCTTGAGGGTGAAATGGTGGGTGTTTGTTTATGTGCACATACATAGGTGTGATCATATGCAAGTTAATAATTCAAATGAAAAGCTAATATGGTTGCAACATTTGGACCTGAAGTACAGTCCTGTGCCAATTTTCATTCTCCTGCATATTCTGATGAATTTAAGCTTGTATCCTACAATTTAGAGGAGGGTCAGATTTCAGTTATGATAATAAAAACTCATTTACACCAAGAAATGAATGCCTCTGAAAATACCCTTACAAAACAGAGATCATTTTCCTTTCCCTAAACAAAATAAACACACCACCAAAAATGAGTCACAGAAAAAGCATGTTCCCTTTGGCCAGCTAGAGATGACTGAAATAAAGGCTTTGATGAAATACTAGAAAAAAACAGGACTATGGGGAAATTTGTATTCCCAGAGGGAATAATATGTAAATTCAACATACATAAATTACATACCATATGGGGCAACTCTTCTTGGATATTCCATGATCGGGATTCTGCATAGCATGGGACAGACACATAAGTGCAGAGCCTTCCTCTAGTGGATTCGTTAGCTTTGCACTCTCTTCTCTCAGTGGGTGACCTTTTTTCTTCCTCCAGTAGTGAGGATGAATGTTAAGGAAAAATTAAATGATACTGCACAATTATTTCTTTGAAGCACAAGCCAGGTGTCCCATCATAGAGTCTTGAAGTTCTTATACAAATCATAAGGATGACATGCTGTAAACTTGTTCTAGAAAACTAATAGCCATGGGTAATAAAAAAATTGTAAAAGAATGTAAACTATCTGAGAAAAAAATTGAAGTAGAAGAGTTCTTCAGAACTTCAGCCAAAAGTTTAGAGCAGGAGTAGTCAGAGACAAGATAAGGCTGGAACTCAGTGAGATGTGTGTTTGTCTTACTCCCTTTTCCATAGAAGGCAAAAGAGATAAGAGATGGTGTATGCCTGAGTCACCCTAATGTATACATACATTACCACTACAGAACTCACACTCTGGAGAGAATGTATATAGCAGCTGAAAGTGAGACTGTGATAAAAGCTGTATCTAGAAAGTAGCAACCTTACAGATTTTCTTTATATGAAATACTAAATGAATAGTAACTCCTTCACTACCAAAAAGTCTCATGCATTTTGGCAGAACCATATGGATTTACTGCAGCCATGGAGCTGGTCTTTATGGTTTTAAAAGAACTAGCATCCATTAGAGCTGTACTTTTGTGAAAGTCATTACTAAGTTTAAATATCCTTAAGTTAACCCCTATGCTTTCTAAGTTTTAGCACCCGAGTTTAAATAACTGGTCATCAGTTTGTAGAAGTCCCATTCTGTGAGGAGAGGCTTGATGGCTCCTGAGGTGAATCATGGTACTGAAACCCCCATTCTCTCAGCAGGATAACTTCCTATGGTTACTCCTAGGTTTCACACCTTTGCTCATGGACGGAATATTTAGCAATGCCTAGGAATGGGACCTTACAGTCATGGAGGGCAGAGCTGATCCATTTCCAGCACAGCTGAAGCCAAGCACTGTTCAACAGCAAAACTAGACCGACAAGTAGCAGTGAAATGAAATTTCTTCACATCGTTATTTAGTACAGGAGACTTGCAGTTTAAGAAGTCTATTTTCACTAGGTGTTATTGGCTAGTGAAGATGTTCTACTGCTTTTAGAACACAGCAGGGTTCATGTATTCTTCTATACTCAAAAGCACCAATTAGAGAGATTAAAGAGCCTGATTTAATGTTTTGTTAAGAAGCTTCAGAATTGCTGGGTCAGCACTGGACTTCTAAATTTGCAGTCCCTTTGCAGCTTCATTAACATAACTGGCACGTAGACTTACTTAGAGCTACTTAAATTGTTTTTATAGATGCAGCGTATCAACAGATCCCTTTGGAGTCTTTGTAGAGTCAGGGACATCCTCAAAACTATAGACGGACCTAAATAACACTTCTACTATACTGCTGAAGTGGACTCCTCCTAGGTGAAGCACTTGCTGAAAGCAAATGCTTGATTACTGCAAAAAGTGTACTTACCTTGTCTGTCTTCTGTTAAGCATTTATCTCCTTCCTACATATTAATAGGCATACCTACACTAATATCTTAAAAGACATCGTGCTCAGCATGGACATTAAAATCATGCTAAGGATCTGCCTTATTCTAACACATATTCTTGCAATATCCCTTCCATAAATAATTATAGTTCAGGCCTTATTTTCAAAGTGCACAATAATTACCAGAATTACATATATAAGACTTGGGTCACTTCAGTCAAGTACACCTCCAACTGTTAGGTATAATTGCAAAAACATTAACTAATCAGGATACACTCACAAAAACAGGAAAACATGAAGTCAAAAAGAGACAGATTAAAACCTTTGTCTCTTTTCATGCTTTCATCCATTAAGAGGCACCTAAGTTAAATCCTTTGCATGAACTTCACTGACTTTCACAAGCAGCATTTCACCTTGTATGTGGGTTACATTTGATGATTTTGACATGAAAAGCATGTTTAAATGTTTTAAAGAGATGAATTGTGTTAAAATGGGCTTAGGAACATAATCAGACTGACCTTACTTTTGGGCTTTCTAAAATATTAAATGACAATTTACCCATGAAAGATCTGAATTTTCAGTATAGTCCTTAAACAAAAAATAAAGTAGCTCTGTACTGCTTCAGGAAAAGAGGCGAAAAAATCAAAGTCTTACCTTTCCATGGAACTATTTCCTATACCTTCCTCACCCTGCCTCTCTTAAGGTAGGGTGTGGGAGATAGCAAGAGAGAATAAAGTCTTCACATGTATTATGAATGTGTTTTTCATTAACTGAGTACATTACAAATTTATTTTAAAAAAAGACATGAAAAATCTATGGCACATTTGCAGCAGGTGATTTTCAAAATCTCATAATCTGGTTAAATAAAAAAAAAAACCAACCCTAGAAAAACCTCAAAGGGACATCAACGTGATGGCAGCTAATTTCAAACCCATTTTACCTTTTGGCTCTTGACACTGTAAGCATCACTATCAGTATCCATTTAAAATTACTTT